GGGGGGGGGGGGGGGGGGGGCCTTTTTGATCTCCAACTGCGAAGCTACGGAAGGGACCCCAAGCACTTCGAAGTAGTTCTTTCGCTTGTGCTTCCTGGCCGACACCAGGTCTGCAATGAAGAATGGTGCACCCAACAATGGACAGAAGCGAAAACAAGTGCTCCAGACCAGTCCTCAGCAAGAACTTTGCTTCTTCGAGTTTGTGATACACCTTGCAGCACAGAACCGCTGATGAATGTCACCGTCGCTGCACAATCAGCTGTTCCGAGTTGGTGACGCTTTCCACCGGATGCCAGGAAATGAGGGACTGCCAGAATCCGCAGTCAAACAAGAATGACGAAATTATTCATGGATCAGTTTGCTGGACCCCCCCCCGCCCTCATGAACACCTGCGAGGTTTGCGGCCCCAACCCGTCTGGATAGCTTGTCGATGGACGCTGCGGTACAGCAAAGAGCACGGCAATTCGACACAAAATCTCTGACCCGCATGTCAGCTCAATCTAACCCTGGGACAGCACAAGTACCCTATTCGCCCCAGATGCACTGGAAAGGGTCGTATGAGTGGCCTCCAACTCTTTCACGGCATCCTCGTGTCTCTCCAACGCCTGACATCCCATGGCACATCGGGGCACCGAGATCAACACAGACAGCCACAGCCTGCATGGCTTGGGCACGGTAGAGATACGGCTGCACAAGCCTAGGTGTCTGCAAGCTCTCAGCCCGACCTTCCTACGCACAAGAGAGCACAGACGCACCTTTGACCCAAGGAGAAGGCGAGTGGTTCCGGTAGGTGGCCTGTCCAACATCCTTCAAGACCTGAGCGGCCAGGGGAACGAAAAGCAGGACAAGAAGCGGTGGCAAGTACATTGTTCATGGTTGACGCCCAGATGTGCTTGGGCTCGGGCACCTCGCCAGTCCTTCAATCGCATGCAGGCTTTTGCTCGCTCGCAGTACAGCGCTGCCAACATGACCTGCAGAGTCCGAGACCCTAGGCCCTAGGCCAGAGGCCGAGGTGACTCTTTTGCACACAGAAGCAACATGCTCATGAATGTTCTGAGAGCAAGGCGGGACTGTCCGCACAAAGCTCCAGCATACCTGGCAGTCTCATCAAGGCCGTTCTAACGGCAGCTCGGCTTCTCCCCTGCCATGCAGTCAAGACGCTGTCGATGACCTGCTGGCCTTTTTCAAAGTCACCTTGGTTCTGCAAAGTTTGGATGTGCGATGATGTGCCGGAGAACATACCATTGGCCAAGGTGCGGTTGTCCATGCACTCCTGCGTGACGGGGCGCAGCAAGTGCATTGTCGAGTTGAGTGCTCAGCTTTCCTCTGTCTGCCGTACCCTGCGGGCACTTGGGCCAGAGTCGCACTCTGTTTGTCTCTATTCCTTCCTAGTCTTTGCCTGCCATGCCGGGCGAGTTCGAGCTCTACAGTCCGAAGGTACAGCGTGCCGCACCGCAAGAACACCCGGTCCTTCAGTTCCGAATGCTTGCTGCACAAGCCGCGCAACCGCTTTCGCAGGGCCTCTTTTTGGGTTGGGGCGGGGTAGCCGGGGTAGCATAGGATTCTAAGATTCTAGCAGCGACCTCTCACGGCGCACCCCATCAGGATCCAGACAGAAAGTGCACTCGACCCAAAGTTACACCCGGCATCATGCGGCGGCTCTTGCCTGAGCTTCTGCATGGTCTGGATCCAAGGAAAGTGCCTCACCGTGCTGGCATAGCAAAGGCGCTGTGAAATCGGCGACCCCCTACTGCGAAAGGATTCGGGAAGAGATACCTCCGTGTCACAGAACCAATGTAAGCAAACGCTGCATAAAGAAATTGAGGCCGCCTGGGAACCGCAAAGTCTGATGGTGCGGAAGCCTTGTCGAAAAGAGCCCCCCGAACTACCTAAAAATGGGCCAAACCCCAACCTTATGATAATTAATTCCTACATAAGGAATTAATTATCTTATAAGGGGAATTAATTATCATAACCCTAACCCCCTGAAGCCTAGCAAACTCCAGGTTCTCAGCGTGGCCTCCTTCAGCAGCCGCTGGCCCTGCTCGAGCGGCTCCACCTCAGCTGAAGGAATGAGCGACTCGCGCCTTTGGGATTCGGCCATCGGGGCTTTCGAGGCCTTGATAGGGCTTGTAGAGGTTCTACGTAGGAAGGGTTCTGGAGTCGAAAGGGTTTGCGCGATTGTGATGTATGAGTTCAGATGCGGAGTGTTGCGATGAGGAAGGCCTCCGTCGGCAGCAGTGCTGCCTTGCACGTCCGCTTCGGCGCCAGCTTCGAGACTTTCGGGCTTGGTCTTCCAAATCGCAGGCTTCATCTGGTGGCGACCCTGGGCTCGCCACCCACTGCTTGGAATCTGCACTGTTGGAGTTATTCCGGTACAACGCCTGACATGTGTTCAGCCCCCCTCAGCTTGCACTTCTGGTCTCCAGAGCTTCAGAGCCGCGCAACCGCCAGCACTTTTGTTCCGTTGCTTCGGTCTTGGAGCATGCCCTTCAAGGGTCCGTGGCCCCCAACATTAAAACTAAGATGTTCTTGCCCGCGCAGGACGTCGGCCGCTCGCTGGTCCTCCATGCGCTTTGAAACCCGCGCAGAATATCTGGACTGGCTGCACCTTCCCGCTTGCATCGGACAAATTGCGCATGGCATGACGCTTTCACGAGGCACCTCAACACTGCACCTGTCCCTGTCCACAGTACTGAAAGCGTCACCGCCAACTTGCGATATACACAGCACATACAGCACGTCTGGCTCGTATCCTTGAGAAGCCCGAGCTTCTCACACCCAGGAACCAAAAGGCACAAAATTCATGGGCTTTCATTCATCGGTTCTCGGTTGCACCAATGGGGCCACGCAGGCCGCATTGTTGCAGCTCTACAGCAAATGGAAAACGTTGATGATCAGGAAGATCAGAATGTTGCCACCTGCCAGCGAGCACAGAACACACATTCGCGCACGCTGCTGCCAGTTGGAAACGCAGGACTGAGCCGTTGACTGACGCAGCCGATCTGGCCATAGAAGCCTGAGCTGGAGATCTGTGAGCTGGCTGACACTGAAGCACTCAGCGTTTGAAGAAACTGAAGATGAGGTGCCCATGGTCGCTTGGATCGTGTCTGGGCACTTCTTGCTTTGTGCGTCTTCGTGTGCCGCGACAAACCTTGCAGCCGGGCAGAGGGGTTCATGAGGGCTCCGTAGAGTCTTGAGTCCTCTACCAGCCCGGCAGCCCGGTCGCAAAAGTCGGCTGGCGACAGGCAAGAGAAAATACCACCTTCTGCGACCAAGGAGCAAGCCAGTGGACATGAGACCAACAGAGAAGTTGAAGATCCCCACCTGATCACGAAAGCGTCTGTGAAGCATGTGTCCCAGCGCAGGCGGGAGGGCGGCGGAGGCTCTTCTATCTGCAGCTTCCGAGCACTGTGATCGGAAGGACCCACATGGCCACCACTGCTGGTACCATGCTCACCACACGGTGAGGAAACACTGAACCTCAGTGTCAAAACTCTCAGTGGCATGGGTCATGATCAGGTCAACTGGCTTCAGATGCTGCAGGGCTACCTTCCTGCAACCAAGCCTCACAGCACCAGAGAAACAAAGGTCACGAAGACCAAAACAAAGCTGCAAACCTAAGGCTTCCGTGGGGTTCCGAGTTGACTGTGTCAAAACATTTAGTTTCTTTCCTACCTTCCCGGACACATCCCTTTCAGGCCCGTGCTAGCCCGAAACTGTGTGGCTTGTACCACTGGCACAGCAGACGACCAATCACGTTCCCGAGATTGTACCTCGGTCGATCCAGTTTGTTTGTGTATACTTTCGGACACTTCGAGGAGTTGTTTGACGTAAAACGAAAATCTGCTCCACTTGCCCCTCTTAAAAAGTTGGGGGGCGGCCTTCAGAAATATGATGGAGGGGTGGGAGCAGGCCAGGAAAAGGAGGGCGTCAGGAGTCGGTGACCGGTTGGTTACAGTGGCAGCGAATCACCAGCAGCTCTGCTGCAGTCAGCTAGGCAATGGAAAGCACGAAGGCAAGTGGTCAGGGGTGTGGTGCGATGGAAAGGCTGGTCAAGTGTCACGCATAAGACATGTGGACTTGAGCCCACGCCCAGACCAATCCGCGCCTCGGCGCTTCTTGGAATATTGCCCCCAACTTCATCTGGTGCCATGGCAATGATGAGTCGTCAGTCATCGTAAGCTCCGTTGCATCGAGAGTAGTACAATGTACTTGTCCCACCATGGAAGGCCTTGAGGGATTCATCTTGCCCATCTGGACGTCCGCCCTGGCTGTCCAGCGTTTATCGACTCAATTCGCCGCGAGCCTACCGTGGAAACAATGTTGGTCGAGATACTTCTGGTCACGTCGCATGTACCAGTTCACCCCTGGTTGCAAGTTGCCCCAATATAAGGAACCCTGTGTCATCTCACTGAGCAGTCGTCTTTGCGCCCATATCGGAAAGAGGTGAGGGCAGGCACTTGAGTACACGACGTCTCGCGTGCATTAGGCCATCGAACATGGGCTTGTTGAAGTCCATTTCCGGGGTGTCGTGCAGGCGTTCCAGAAGCGTATACACTACATCAAAGTGGGATCGACCGTCGTCGGGCTGAGGGTCCACCCAGTGCAGCAAAGGGCACTGGAGCATGTTTACCTCTCCGTTCACGCGGGGAGGTGGTCCGTATGGTACCTCGTTGCACGCCCAAAACCCAACACTTTTGGCAGGGCCTTCTCGTGTGACATCGGTGGTACATTGCAAGGCAAATGCCAAGAAGTGCCCAACAGCCCGGTTCCGACTATGCGTGCGGCTGTTGCCGAATCGTATGAAAAGGGGCCCGAAGACATGAGTGTGGATGGCCACCCGAACTGGACCAACGGCAGTACGGCAGGACCCAGTCCATCAATCTACCTCTCTCAGGGTAACAGTTAACAGTTCTGCTCCTTCGAGTCGAAACCCGGAAAACGTTCAGAACCTCAACCAAAATGGTTATAGGGCCTCCGAACTGCTTCTTCATTTCTGGATTCGGGCACACGCACGGGAAGGCAGTTTTCCAGGTGGGATGGGGACCGGTTCAAGACTCTTTCACCCAGAGGGGCTTATCTATTAGACCCTCGGATTGTACCTTGTTCTGATTTGTGTTGCGTAGTGGCTCTCGATGAAGCACCCCTGAATGCAGCTGGGTGCATCGTGTTCATGCTCTCGTATAGCCTTGGCTACTCCGTGCCTATCTCCCGGCATCGCGACGTTGTCACAGTTACAGAACACAGCAATCCAAGTCTCTTCTTGACAAGCAGCTGCTGCTTCTGAAGCCCAAATGGATTGGCAATGAACGGCAGCAAAGAGGGAATGCTGTAGCACATTGCCCTGTCAGGACATGTTTCTTCCAGACAGGGACCGCACTGCGTGCTGAACAGTTTCTTCATGGCACTCTCCTTTGAACGTAGACATTTGAGGCCTCCGGCCATTTCATGGGAGTCCTGAGCCCCCTAGGAAGGGGATCCTGCCTCGCCACGAAGGAGCCGCCGGTGTAGAAGGCAACAATGCTGCGACCCTTGCAGCACATTCATGTGATTCATGTGCCAAGACAGCCCCCTTCTCAAGCCATTACGCACCACGTGCGAGGAGTGCGGGCATCCCCCCCGCTTCAGGCAAGGAGCGTCTGCATATGCATCTTGGTCGCCCTGAAGCGCATTGTAAAATCCTCTGAGGGAATAGCAGACGTGTTCTGCAGACCTGCCAGCAGAAAAACGAAGGCTTCGTGCTTGACTTGCCCATACTTGCCCCACAGCGCACCTCTGGGCGAGTTCGCCCATTGAAGACGTTGACGTAGCGCACGCCAACTCCTCCGAGCCCACATGGCTTAGAACGCTGGCAGGTTTTGAAAAAAATCGTCTGAACATCATCGGCACATCCTCGACCGGCTTCAGATCTTTGACTTGTCGGTGCGTCACACCGTTTACCCCACCTGACAAACTCAGGTCAGGGGCACCGTGAGCAAGAGCGAGAGGTACAGCGAGAGGCAGAGCATGGACCCGGCGAGAGAGGCAAAGAGTGAAGGCGAATGGAAATACAAGGAGATGGAGGAAGAAGGAAGAAGGGAGATGCGGTCCATGCCATCACAAGAAGCTGGGGGCCCCCACCGCTGACACTTTGGCCAGCGGAAAACAAGGTACAGCCATCGCAACCCGCGCAGTTGCATTTGGCCTGCAAGGACATGTTTACCAGACGACCGCATGGCTGACATCATGGGCTCCGTGACAAGCAAGCAAATGCCGCCCAACAGCTGAAGCAACGGCGGCCTTCTCTGCAAAGAAAAACGATCTGCATGAAAACACGCCGGCCACATCTTTGGCACTGATGATGACCCACAGTCCCATCTGCCTCTGAAGGAGCTTGAGTATGTTGCGTTCAACTGGCTAGACGTCAGCAACCCTTCTCTCTAGCCTACATCACCTGAGTCTAAGCAGATCGGTCAAGACTCAAGATCAAGATGATGCTGAAATAGAGCATGATTCCAAACCTGCCGATAGTCGCCTGACGGAGTGTGCACAATTCAGCCTTTGGAAGGGAGCAGTAGTGCATGCTTTTTGTTGCCCTCTGAACAAAGCCACTGGTCATGACTCAAACTGCAGCCCGCGGAAACCAACACCGCTTGAGAGCCTCAATCAAGTTGGGCAGCACTCCGCTGAAGGAACCGCCGATTTGAATCGCCTGGGCCAGGAGGAAAGCAAGGACAGAACACAACGATGTGTCCCCCGAACATCCCCGAACTCCATAAGCCCGAAACCCAAGCCCAAAACCCATCCTAAGCCCCACAACCCGAAGCTCGCCCCCTCCGTCCAAATCGAAGCTGAGCAGCGGCTGCATATCGGCTGGGATGCCTGAGGCACCGAGTAGAAGCATGAGTCAAAAGGCTCGGGTGTGGGTAAACACGGGGCATGGCTGTACAAGTCATCTCATGCGCGTCCTGTCCGAAAAACGAGAATCGAACAAGAACAGCCAGCACTATTCTGCTATGCTCGGGCTGGACCTCAACTTGCAGACAAAACTTTGCCTTGGACACCTCAGACCTTGTCGAGTACTTTGCGGGCTTTGGGGTTTAAGAAGGCTTGGTGTGGTGTAGCTTGTGCAGACCAGGAGCTGAAGTGCTATTGGCCACGCAGTCAGATCCTCAACAGGCTGGGGCTGCGGGTCGGCAAGTGTTTTGTCGGAGGTCTGAGAGATTTAGGACTTATTGGGTGGTGTGTTGCCAAGATGCGCCGACATTGCCCACAGCACCTGTCACACTTTCTCTGAGCACGTGCACAGAGCGACCACCGACGAGGCTGTTGGGGCGAGTTGTGGTGAACACTCGTGCAAAAAGCGACTGCAGCTAGATAAGGCATGTCCTACGGTCTGCAGTTCAACTTCCGATCCAAATCTCCCCTGGATGTGTCAAGGTAGCGTCAAACTAGCCTCTTACACGTTGAACCATTCCACGTGCGTATCCGCTTGATTGCCACGCGAAGTTGCCTTTTAGTCACAAACAACACGGTGCAGACCTAATATGCTCTGCATGTTGGACTTTTTGTCGTCTGGCTCATGTTCGGATCTCTTGGCGTTGGTGCATTCTCTATGTGCTCTTACATTCTCGATGCATCACCGACATGGCATGTCGCCTTCGTGAAGCATTTAGCTTTCCAGTTGTGCCAGCAAGCTGAGGAAGAATGGCGAAAAACATTGTCCAGGCACATCCACTGCCTGCAGCCTTCATCAATAGACTCTACTTTCCTCCTCCAGCAGCCCCCTCCCTGTCCCTGCAAACCTGTAAAGGTTACGGTTACAACGATCCGTACATGTCTCTGCACTTACAGTACACCCTCAAGAACTCATGAGCCTGCAGCGGCCGAGAGCAAAACGAGCTCAGCCGTGCACTTGTGGCACAGCCACCTGCGCAGTTGGACTGCCGGAAGAACTCCCAGGCGGCATGACGCCAAAGCCGACCAAAGACCCCCTCAAGCAAGGACGGATCTGACATGAGGCAAGTTGCAGGAGCACGAAAGCTGCCAGCGCCATCACCGCTGCAACTTGGCCCATGTGAATTGCAGCTGCGGCGTTCGCTGCCGCCTCTTGCATCCAGGAACGACGGCATTGACGGCTTTGCGGAGGCTCCTTTGCTCTAGCTACGCGGCCTTCTTTCGCTGCTGGTCCTGCTTGAAGAGCCGGCGCTGCTCGCTCATCTTCCTTGCAATCACGTAGGTGGCAGGATGTCATCCCTTCAGCACCGTGCCCAAAAGGTGAAGGCTTAAGGCTGTGCCAAGGCTCTCAATGCTCGCGGAGACGCTGGCCTTCCGAGTCAACAGTAGCTAGAAGTTTCGAAGAATCTAATTAAGTTGCTAGGCAAAAAGAAGGGCCTTCAGGTCCAAGTCGTGGTTGTAGGCGATGACATGGTAGATGATGGAAAAGACCTGAGAGCTTCTGTGCCAATGATCTTGTGCCGCCGATTGCTGCCTCATCGATCTATTTCTGACAGCTGTGGGTCGGACGGCACCCACTTGCGTGCTAGCATTCACGATGCTTGCAGTTCCAGGCCCTTCAGCCAGCTTGTCGACAAACAGGGGCAACCTAGTCGCAGCTTGACCGCACTAGCGTTGTTGGAGAGGAAACGCACAAAGCGAATGGGGGCGTTGCGATGCGAAGATCGCATTGGAGGCCCACCAGCCGCTCACCTCAGAGTCCCAGGCGGGAAGAGGCTCTTGACGTTCGACTCACAACAGGGCTCACCGCTTCTATTGATTCTATTGCCGCCTCAACTATTGCTGCCTCAAGCCTGAGACAGCAGCCCCAAGGGAGAAGAAGAGCAGCCAAAGCTGGCAGGGTGCCTGGGCCTCACCAGTGCCAGGCACAACGCATAGTCTGCTGGCCAATGCTGGCCATGTTGAGTGGGTGGTCTCTCAAGCGATTCAGATGGAGTCCCTATGCCCGGGGCACGGGTCCTGCATTCGAGAGGGTCTACATCTCAGAGACTCTTAGAGATTTGCAGGGAACTTGCAACCCACGCACCAGCTGAAACTGTTGATGGATGCCAAACTGTTCAACATTCGTGCGCTTGTCCGATTATGTCCCATGAAGCTGGGGTCTCATTCAGAACACGGGATTGCGTTATGAGTTATGAGTCTACGGTTTGCATGAGGCTCTCCTTGCCCTGCCTGTCGGATTGCCCGCAGGTCCGCAGCTCGCTCTGCGTCACTTAGCAGCGACATGGACTTGGCGCTGTAGAACGTCATGCTGCGACCTCCCGAATGCGATTGAACAATATTGAACAAGACAGAGCAGATCCTGGACTCAGGTCGGGCAGATGTTTGGGGGCCTGATACCTCGTTCAATCTGTACATACACAGGCGCTGAGCTCTGGAGCCCTCTTACCGTCTGTTAATCTATCCACCGATTCACGGCCTTCTTTAGCGCACAGCCGACTAAGGCTAGACTCTTTAGACACACAGCATCCAGCTCCTCGTGCCTGCTCTCGCCCTCGCGCGATAGTAGATGGGAAGCTGGTCAAAGGAGTTTGCCCTGGCATCTTCACTGCATAGCATGCTGCGGCTACGGTTGACGGACTTTCACGGGATCTTCCTGGACGTGCCTCGATCGTCTTGCCTTGCCCCCCATCACCCTCCAGGGATCTTGGGGTAAGGGGCTCACGCGTAAATGTCAGCCACAAGAACCCACAAGAACCCATGGGGCGGTCAAGGAATCGACACCAGTCTGTTTCGTTCCTTGACATCTCTTCTGGCGACGGCGCTTCCCAGCAGGATTGGCACATCCCCGCTGCCCAGTAGGGATCCTCGCTATGAAGGCATCTCTGTCTGGGGCTTTAAAATTTAGGGATTTCAGATCGAGTTCCCATGCTGACAAGCTACTCCCACCGAGATCTTCCGCTCGCCACACTTGCTGCAAGTGCTCTCGCCGTCTGAGTCGAGAGTCAGGTGGTATCAACGCGTGAGTGAGTGAGAGAGTGAGTGTGAGTGTGTGTGTGTGTGTGTGTGTGTGAGTGTGCGCGCGCACGGGTTCCAAGATGGTAGTTCGACAAGACTTTGCCCAAGTTATGGATTCGCTTGCAGCAATTTGCCACACGGCCTGTCAAAGATTCGAAGCATCCTTCGCCTTGGAGACCGACAAGGAATCTGCCAAACCCGGGGTTGAAGTTTAGAGCTCTGCGCCATTCTGCAGCTAAGCATGTTCTCACATGTGCAGCCAAAGTCCGTCAACTTACATTGAGCAGCGGGCTTTTCTGAAGCACCATTCTATGGGGACTCGACTTAACCCACATCAGCCGACGAGAAGCCACAGAAGATGCGACACAAAATCATCAACATCTTTCCCGACGAGCCAAGTCACAAAGTCTCACGCCATGGAAGTGGGTCTGGCAGGGCGCTTAAGATGTCATGCTTACTTCTCTCTGAACTGTTGCGGGCCCGCAGCTGGCAACACTGCCTGGCCTGTTCAGTGCCTGCACTGGAGCATGCAACATGGGATCAGTAAAACTTGAAGTGCACTTTCAGGAACAAGAAATTGGGTTTCCAGAAACTGCGGCCATGGAACTAATGGCTCTTTTGCACATCCGGCACTCCATGCCTGAGCTGTTGAATCTGCGAACTGGGCCCCCCACTTGGGCTTTTGGGCCCTGAGATCCATCTGCAAATCCCGGCAAAAACCAAGGATGACTCTGATCTTCGGAGGTGCCGGGCTTGTTATAGCAGGCATCACAGAGTCCGGATCCCCAGCGCAGCTGCTTCAAGGGAATCTTCTTCTTGCAACCTCCGGCGTGTCAACAGAACACCTGTTGTGAGGCTGTCTGGCGGGTCTCTCTGCTGTCAGCCCAGCGGCAAGTGCACTTCTTGTCACAATCCTGGCAGGACCATCTCTCAGAAGCCGTTAATCACGAACATCAAAGCTCTGAATCAACATGCACTCTCACACTCCAAGCGTTGCCTTGTAGCAGAAGTCGCACAGGCCTGAAGTGTATCTCCTCAGCAGAAAGGCGATGCCACCCCAAGGCTTCCCAATGAAATTTCTTGCAGCGGCGCTGCAATTGCCAATGTCTACTGCTTCACGCTCAATGACTGAACTAAGCCAGTTGGCAGCTCATCATCCGGAATGTTCTCGTTGCAGCGAACACAAGTTGTATTGTACTTCGCATAGCAGGCATCGCACAAACCTGGGCTCGAGACACACACGCCCAAAGGCGAGTACCAAGTTGCTGCTAGATTGGCTTCATCATTTGATTTGAGTCCAAAGGTCGGATGTGGGGACGCTTCCTAGAAACAGCAGCACGGCATCCGCCGATGTTGTCATAGCATTCGTTGCAAACTCCTGCAGCAGGGCAGTCAAGTTGTGACGTACTAAACGGGCCCCTCCAAACAGAGGCAACCAGGAGATTAAGTGCAAAGAGGATTGCGCCTTACCGTTTCTTGTTCAACTTCGTCCCTGTACGAGGGATGCGCAGGCTGACGGCCTTACATTGACCATAAGGGAATACGATCAGCGCCACAAACTAAACTTAGCTGATGATGTGGGCGAATGCCCTCCAAAGAAAATCTCCACAATTGGCCCTATACTCATCTTCTCCCCCGTCCCCCTTCCCCCCCCCCCTCCCCCCCCCTACCACACCGCTTGTCATCGGATGAGCACTCTTAGCTGTCTTGCGTCGGCTCTTTTCCTTGAACGTTGCTTGTTTCTCGTTTCTGTCTCGAGATGCACCTTCTTCGTTCTGGGGAGCGCTCTCTCTTCCCTGCATTGGCCGAGGCGGCCGGCGCACAAAGTTTGCAGCCGGAATGGGTCCTGTGCGCCAGCCAATCTCCTCAAGCGAGATCGTCTTGCTACCTCGGTTTCGGCGCTTCCTGTATGGCGACTACCAGTAACGTCTCTCTTGCTTCCGCGCGACACTTTTTGCAGTGGACCTTCACCGGTGGCAGAGGCGGGCAGCGAGCAACCCCGACTACGTTGCAGAAAAATGCAGCGCTGGCCTCCTGGCCGCTTGAGCAGTCTTTGCACATGGCGGTCTTCCAGCCAGTCCTCAACCAGGGGCGAGCTAAGAAGGTCCTCCAAGGCCAAGGTCCGCGAAGTTGTCTAAAAAACAATCCCACATAGACAAAAAACCGAAGTGTAGTTCAGCAGAGCAGCTCGCCGAGAGAGATCGTCCTCGGCTGAATCTGCTCTGGTAGCCGAGACTGGTTTTGGTGGCTTTGTTATCCGGAAACAAGGCTCGCTCCCTCGCACAGAGGCACGATACACCACGAAGCGACAAGACGGCTAGTCTAAAGCTGCGGTCGCTTGACCACAATCGAACACCACATCCCGGGGCGATGCGTGCAGACAGTAATTACCCTTATGCATCTCTTCAACAAATACAAAGGATCCCCAAGAGCCGTCCCAATTTAAACCAACCTCCCAAATGAAGAATCCGATGCAAAGAATGGGCCCTGGAGGCAGTCACTGCCCTGAAGACTGAAACACTCGAATGATGCTCCCTTCGCCAAGTTCGGCGAAGGCACCCGCCGCACATCAAGCACGCTCTCTTGCAACTAGCCCAGCAGTCATCGCCTGCCAAGTTGACAAAATGGCAGAAGCCGAGGCTTCAGCCAGGTGTCGACAACTTCGTGTCCAAGTTGCAGAGGCCGGTCTTGAATTTCATCTCAGTCCTCTGCTACACATTGGAAGCTTAGAAAAGGCGAGGAAGGAAAAGAGGTGCGCCGCGAGAGAATGTCTCCGGAAGCAGCCGAGCGACATCTTCAATCTCCTGGCACATCCTTTGCACTGCCTGGGAAGCTTCAATGCACGGATCAAGAAAAAAGTCAAGAAAGTCGAGCAAGAAATAGATGCCATCGCCAAAGCTGTAGGGAGTACTCCAGCAGCAGACTGGGTTGGAAACCACTTCTTGGGAGTGAAAAGCTACACGGAACCATACCATGTCAAGTCTCGGCAATCTGTTGTAACACTTGTCACATAGGCCGGATCCACCATACTTCTGCCCACGCAACTTTGCTTCGCCTGGTAGGCTCGAAAAAATCTCATCCCCCTCCCCCCCCCCCACAGGTTCCACAAAAGCTCTCTCTCTACTTCAGCCCAAGCTTCAACATGCACACTGCTGCGGAGTCGACTTCGTACCTAAAGCAAGCGCTTGCAAACTCGTGCAGAGACTCGTGGCGCTCACCAAGTCGCTTGAAAGCTGCAACTCTGAGGGCCGAGGGCCCGGGCAGTCGTCACAAAGGCCGAGAAACAGCAGACTTGCGAACTGCCTCAGCGACGGGCACATGGCATATCCTGACGTGGTCAGATGTGACGCGGTTCGGCCCACGCTTTTTGGCCAAGCATCGGCTTGCCGCATTTCTTGCACTTTTGGTGTGCCCTCAGCTCAAACCACAGACAGCGGCCGAAAACAAAGCACAAGGATGAAATGAAGGAGCTAGGCAGCTAGTCAAAAAACTGACAGCCCTCACTCAGGTCCATGCGCGCTCGCACTGCTTGGATCGATGAGGGAGACGGTGCGCTTACATCGGACAGATGACTGGCTTTCTTCGCTGTTGAAGAGCAGGGGCTGCTTCATGTTGAAGCGCATCCGTGCCCTTGCGCATCGCTACAAGATGCTACACAGCAAGCAATTCGCCTGCAAAGACCTTTGACATGAGCATATTGTAGTGAAGCCCAGCAACTGCATGGGTATGGTTCAAGCTGAACTCTAGTGGAGCTACACCGCTACACCAAACCTGGTTCCTGAAGTGCTAGCCCTGCTTTCTGGATGGCTGATAAGAATGTCACACTCTTTTTTTTGTGGAACTGGATCCATATCGGCGCGGACGAGTTCTGAACGTATACTGGCTCACAATGTCTGGCGAGTGTACATGTCTTGCACAGCACATGCACACCATTGAAACCGATACCGACTCCAACAAGTCCTGCCTGGGTCCGGAGGACTAAGGCATTCGTGTTTCGCGGATTGGTGCGCAGGATTTGCTGCGTGGTGTTCCTGCCATGAGCGTCGAAGCTTCAGGAAGAAATGCGCCACCTGCTTAAATGCCAACATGCCAGCAATGCAAAACACGCGGATATTGCTTGAGCTCCTTTGCGCAGTGTGGAGGGGAGAAGACCACAGAAGATTCCATGGATTCTTTAGAGTGCATAGAAGACCCCCAAGAGATGCCATCATGGTCTGTACGACCTCTTCATGGTCTGACTGGATATGTTTCTGAGCTGTGCCCTTCGGCCCGCTTACTTCCCTTCGCCAACCTGCCGCATGCCTGGTGCACTGAGAGCCACAGCAAATCCAGCCGAGCGTCCAAGTAGCAGTGTGCCATCTTCAGGGTCAGCGGTGGAAAATCGAAAAGAACCTTGGCGTTGAAGGTGAGAGAAAAGCACTCAACTCTCTCCCAGAAGCCGATCTCGGACATGCCGAGGAAGTGTCCGTTGACTCCAAGTTGGCATACATGTTGAGAGCCTCGAGTCTTCACGGCACGAGCAGAGCTCCCCCAAGGAAGATTCTGCAACAGCGCCTTCGCAGGTTCGCCACTTGCAAGCGCCTGCGCTCCATGAAGATGATGGAGGCTTCATGGACCCCAAGCCCGAATTAGCACCCCTCGGTTGATGGACCTATGGCTGGCCTGGTCCGCCTCCGCGAGAGTTGACTGCGCACTACCTGAGACGGGGTGTAGGGCTGTTGAAGGCGTGAGTCTTGGGGCTTCGGCTCGCCCGCAGCACAAGCAAGTCCTCGCCTACTTGCTTCAGCGCGTTAACCAGCACTGCATCGTCCCCCACCTTGGTCGCTAGAACACTCGTAGCAGCTTCTCAAGTAAATCCAACTAATCTTGCGCTTGCTGCTTTAGCAATTGTGCCGGTTGCTGACAACTGCCTGCGTTGTCGGGCTGGTGACTTTCACCGCAACCCGCTACACAAGGCAAGTGCATCGCCCAGTGTGGATCGGGCAGCGTCGAAGCTGCCACTGGCCACCTGCAAGGAGGCCATAAGAAGCCAAAGGAGGCGACTGCAGCAGTAAAACTTTCGCCATTACACTCAAAGCTGGAGCACCAAGGCTGCCTGTGCGGAAGCTAGTCGAGCGCGAACCTTCGCATTGGAGGGGTCGAGTGCCTGAGCACAGCTGTGCTGCTAATGTTCACATTAACCATTTTCCAATACTGAGTCCTTCACAAGGCACTCAGTGCAGGCTTCAGCACAGTCGGCGGATCGCTTGAGCATCAGGCACCTTCCCAAGAAGTCACCAGAAAGGAGTGCCCCCTCAAGCTGCTCCTGAACCGCCTGAACCCCAAAGCTCTGCGCACTCTGAGGGCGACACGCCGCTGCCACGTTGCCCAACAACTGCGCCCGCAGTCCCACATCTTCACCAGCCAGGTCCTGGAATTGCCCGGGGAAGTCGAGTTACAAGATCGTTCCTATCGCATGGCACTTCGATTGCGAAGGCAGCCCGGTCCAGAGCCCTGCGGTACTCTGTCAAGGCTCCACGGTAGTTTCCTTCCTTGTACCTGATCCCACAGCCCAGCGAGAAAATGCGCAGCACCCTCCTGAAAGACACCTGCTTAAAGGCTTAAAACTGCGAGGGGAGCACTGTGCCGTCCCGGCCTCCTTCGCTCGCAGGGCCTGTCGAGCATGTCTGCGAGAATTCTGCGAGGTATCAAACCGAGAATCAACTGCAAGGAGGCTCCACCTCCGCAACTGGAGCGGCAGCCTCCTGCACCTTCAACACACGTCAATGCTGTGCAGGCCTTTGGGTCCCGCTGCAGACCCATGTGCACACAGCCTGCGCCTCCTTCGGCGCCGCGGATGCCGCAGACGGCGCAGGAGCTGCGGGCGCCGCAGCAGCTGCGGGCGCCGCAGACGCTGCGGGCGCCGCAGACGCCGCAGGCGCTGCGCGCGGTGCGGGCGTGGGCTCTGTTGGCCTGGGCTGATTAGCTTGGCACAGAATCGTCGCAACACGAGGTTCAAAGCAATCAAGCTTCCGGCACCGCACTTGCCAGAAGGCGTTCTACCTTCACATTATGCACGGCAGACATCAAAGCACTCAGGGGTCAAAGAGATCCGCCTCACCACGTACTCCAAGCTTGTCTGCGAGGCAAAGGGTCGCCTGTTGAAAGAGTCTTCATGTTTGCCGTTTTCTCACCTCGGGCCCACCACCGGAGGCTTTTGCACGGAGAGCCGAAATCTCACCTTGGGCTGACCTAGTCGGCACGAACAGGTCCTGCTTTGTCCTGCCCATCCCCCTGTCCCCTTGAAATGCCTTATAGGGACGCCTCGAAGCCCCCCCACAAGTCACACGACACGCCTTTCCAGCCTTGAAAACCTTCCAGATACTCCCTGCACACCCAAAGCGACCAATAAAGGTACTATCAAAGACTCATTGCTTTAAGCATTCTTTTTGTAGGGAGGAGGTAGCGTACTGGGAACACACTCGGCTGTGCCTCGCATTCGCCTCGAAGCTGCAGCCGGACCTCTGCCCGAGCTTTCTGGAAAAGAGCCTTGCGGAAGTCGAGAAAAGACACAACACACGCCTTGCAAAGTTGTGGAAAAAATCAAATCCCAGCCTTCTTCATGGCAGCTGCAGACAGATCAGGCGCTCGCGCCAGCGCCTGCAGTGGAACTCGGCTATCGGCTGCGGCACACTGCCCCCAGCGTGCGGGTGCCTTTGCAGCATCGGCCCTGGTGCCTTCCTCAGAGACGCTGGAAGGAAGAAGGGGTAGGAACAAAGTCACAAAAGGCCAACAATGCCCCAGTGCCCGGCCCAGTCTTGAAGAGATGCCAGGCAAACTGCCCGATTCCTTGGTTCACCGAAGTCCTCTCCAGCGAGACTACCCAAATTAGCTGGCTTAGGCAGGTTCCAAGCTTAAAGCTTGGGCCGACTCTCTCATCTTTGCAGCCGAGGGTCGAGTAGTAGACACCAGGGACATCAGCACCGGCAGCCTCTCCACAAGCGCTGGAAGAGTCCGCAGCTTCGGGCTCGGACATCACAACTTCTCGACCCTTGCAGCTAGGTCCCATAATCTTGGAGGGCGGTGCGCTGTGGGGCCTGTGTTTTTTTTTAGTGTTTTTGCAGGGCACAAGTGTTTATAAAGCAGGTGTGCATGCACATGACACTCTTTATCCCGGATACTCTATATTTACAAGCACGCGCGCATACACAGGATAATAATTTAAAGCCTTTAACTTCCTTTAAAACCTTTAAGATTTAATTGGAGAGGCCCTCAATTAAATTTTAAAGGGGAGGGGCCCCCTTTAAAATCTTTAACATCTCCATTTAAATTTAAAAGGTTTTAACGGTTTTAAAGCCTTTAAATTCCTCTAAAACCTGTAAAATTTATTTGGGGAGGCCCCCAATTTAATTTTAAAGGGGACGGGCCCCCTTTAAAATCTTTAAAATCTTTAAAATTTAATTGGACCTCCATTTAAATTTTAAAGGTTTTCAAGGAATTTAAAGGCTTTCAAAACCTTTAAAACCTTGAAAATTTAAATGGAGGTCCAAATAAATTTTAAAGGTTTTAAAGATTTTAAAGGGGGCCCACCCTCTTTAAAATTTAATTGAGGGCCTCCCCAAGTAAATTTTATAAAGGAATTTAAAGGCTTTAAAACCTTTAAAACAATTTAAATTTAAATGGAGGTCCAATTAAATTCAAGGATTTTAAAGATTTTCAAGGGGGGGCCCGCCCCTTTAAAATTTAATTGAGGGCCTCCCCAAGTAGATTTTAAAGGTTTTAAAGGAATTTAAAGGCTTTAAAACCTTTACAACCATGTAAATTTAGAGTCCGGGGGACTGTGGGCGTGCACTTTTTTTGTGTTTTTACTCTCTCGTACTTGATAACTATCGTTCAATCTTCAGGTCATGATCTCTCTCATCTTAATTATGAAATTGCCTTTTCATTATTTGTGCGAGAACATGCTATGCATGAAGTGCTACTACGCTTCATGCCAGGCCTACATGGAAACAGCTTTTCAGATTAAGTGAGTATCCCAGTGTGTTGGGCTATGGCAAGATATCCGGGTGAGTCTATACCTGGCTTAGTTCGTGAACTAGGAGGACAAGACGGAGAACTCACTTCGATGAGGCTGTTGGTCAAGTAACAGGTCAAAAACTCAAAGGACCAGAGACACGACCCATCAAGTGCGATCGTCGGAACGGTGTCGGTCCCCCTCCCAACGACCTACCCTTGCTTCAGCTTTTCTTAGTATCGTCCGAACAACGAATCCTAAAATCGCATATTTGAGCACCGGGAAATGAAGGACAGCTATTGGGACAATGGGGACACCCGCCTCACAGGCTCCGATAAGCCAGCATTGGGCTACTCCATGTTTTGAATCTTGACAGGACAATGCTGGCTTTGTAGTTTGTATGTGTTAATTTATTTTGGCAACTTGTTCTTTTGAATGGCAAAGAATGTTTTTTTATTGGATAAATTGTAGTTTCGCAAGGCAAAGTATTAATCAAATGCCATACGGAAAGTCCGCTGAAGTACTTTGTTTTTTACGCATGAATGTATATTATACAAAGCATTCGCCCTATGCGAGTTTAGGTACTGTAGCACTTAGTATATAGCTGAATACTGACTAAATGAATTCAACTTAGAAGGTTGTTTTTTGTACAACTCAAGTACGCACTAGACACCTTGAGTTTCATAATAATGAAACCAATGCTACTGAAGTACTAGTTAAAGACTACTGATGCGCGATGCCTGAAATGAGACAGGCTTTAAAATACACAATTCTCATAGAAAAGTAGTTGTTGCCTCACAAAGGTCATAGCACAAGTAAATTCACAAACGCAAAAAACATCCCGAAATGCAAGCTTTTCAGGAGAACCTCTGGTGAAGTTTGGATTTGAGGGTTTTAAAGTCTCTCTAAATAAGTAAAGCAACTGTTTAAGCAAATAACTCTAGGCAACAAACCTGTTTCCAGACAAATATTGCTTCTACTAGGCAAAATATTGCTCAACCATGCAGTACTCGTTACATGTTGATTCGACCAATCTAGCAGTCAGTGAATATTCAATTATTGGGTGAGTACAAGATTTACTAAATATACACAGAATATGACATAGTGCTCAGTAAATGATACTTGACTACAGAAAACTAATTCAATTACGTACTAATGAAATACCATTTATATACTATTCGCTTTGACAAGTACAATTTACATAGAAAAGCCTTGAAAAGCACAAATTCCTAAGAACCATACCATCCACCCAGTAAAGGCTATGGTACTGAGCATGGGAATGCGGTGTTTGGGGGCAGAATGCTCAAACGCTCTTTACATGCTACTTGAATATGAAACTAAATTATTCATGTACCCATTAAATACAGTACTCTTTAAGTGTACGATGCACAGAAAAGTACAATTTGCAAAGAGAAGCGTAGAAAAGCACCATTTTCTTAGAGAGAAGGGGGGCTCAGGCAGTACGGAAAAGCACAAAAAAGCCACAAACGCACAAAAACACACAAAAAGCTAAAATTAGCAAAAAGAACATGAAAGCCAAACAAATATATTTCAGGATTCTCCACAATATTCTCACGGAAAACCAAGAAACGACAATATTTCAGGACTTTCCACCAAATCTGTACGGAAAACCAAAAAAACCAAAAAAAACAAAAAAAAAACCAAAAAAACCAAAAAAAAAAAAACAAAAAAAAACAAAAAAACCAAAAAAACCAATTTTCAGGGACTCTTCGAAATTAGGCCATCAGCTGGAAGAGTCCTGAAATATTGGTTTTTTTGGTTTTTTTGGTTCTCTTGGTTTTTTGGGTTTTTTTGATTTTCCGTATGGATTTTCCGTACGGTTTTGGTGGAGAGTCATGAAATATTGTTCTTCTTGAGAGTCTAGAAATATTGTTGTTACTTGGGTTTTTTTGGTTCTTCAACAGCGACAAAAGGCCGAGAAAGTGCACGCCCACAGTCCCCCGTTTTGTAAATTTAAATGGAGGTCCAATTAAATTTTAAAGATTTTGAAGATTTTAATGATTTTAAAGATTTTAAAGGGGGCCCGCGTCCTTTAAAATTTAATTGGACTTCCATTTAAATTTTAAAGGTTTTAAAGGAATTTAAAGGCTTTAAAACCTTGAAACCTTTAAAATTTCAATGGAGTTCCAATTAAATTTTAAAGATTTTATATCCAGGCACCTGGGCGAGGAGGGGGGGGGGAGGGGGGAGGGGGGGGTGGGGGGGGTGGGGGGGGGGGGGGGGGCGGTGGGGGGGGGGGGGGTGGGGGACCCTCAACACCCAAGACCCCCCCAACCCCCCCCCCCCCCCACCCCCCCCCCCCCCCCACCCCTCAAAATGAACCATAAGAAATCAAGTTAACCTTACCTAACCAGTAACGTGTGACAGTCAACCACGCCCATCTAACCTTAGTATAGTTCAACTACTTAACTTCGCCCATCCAACCTCAAACAACGGAATCTTCAACGAAGAGCCCCCCCCCCTCCCCCCCCACCCCCAAAGAATCAATGCTTATAAGCAAGCCAACTGCTTATAAGCAAACCCTTCCTCTACACAAAAAAACTCTATAAAAATGAACCATAAGAAATCAAGTTAACCTTACCTAACCAGTAACGTATGACAGTCAACCACGCCCATCTAACCTTAGTATAGTTCAACTACTTAACTTCGCCCATCCAGCCTCAAACAACGGAATCTTCAACGAAGAGCGTTCCAAAAACGCAGGCCCCACAGCGCACCCTTCTGTAATCTTGAGACGCGCATCCTTCGAGCTTCTTTCATCTGCTTGCAGCAGCGGCAACACCCCTGCTGGTGGTTCTCTTCAGTTCAGACAAGGTAAGGCCTAGCACCTTGGGCGCAGGCAGCAGGCTTCAGGGCTTTAGGGGTTCAGGGCTTCAGGGTTCAAGGTTTAGATTTGGGGTTTTTGGTCGCTGTCAGTCGCGGGCTTGCCACAACCGTTCAGGCTCATGACGAGGATCACGGGGTCCAAGAGTCCCACCTGCTGGCGTTCAAAGGACGTTAGTGTGTTTCCAGCTTGGATATACTACGGAACTCGCTTCACTCATGCACCAACAAGTACAAAAACAAAACGATGAATGCACGGCTCAGCCGCCGTCATCAGTGCTAGCTTCGTGAGCAACACAGAAGCGGCTGTGAGAGAGGCGTTGTACTCAAAGGAGATGTTGAAGGAGATGCCAAACGATATGAAGAAGTACATCCCAGAGAATAGGTAGCTCCCAATGACAAATAAGCCCATGCCGAGACAAGCGGGAATTGTCAAGGACAAGAAGCACGTGATGAGGACGTCAAGAAGCGTCTTTTGCTTCCCCTGCATGTCCTCCTCAGCCTGACCCTTTCTTGATGATGAAGCATCATATCCCTTCTGCAGGCCTTTTAGCTATGATCAAGTGCAGTATCTGAAAAGGGCGATTTGACTTGTGCGAGTTCACAGGTGTCTTGGCAGCATTAACCCTAAACCCTAACCTCTAATCTAAGGGTTGGTTTCCTTAGGTTATGAGCCCAAGGGCTCTAGGGCTTAGCGCTTAGATTAATTTCCTGGTTGGTCTAGCCTTTGCAAATCTTATTCTAAACGAGAGACATCCGAGAGTCGCTGCTGTGAGCCATGGACTTGAGCATGAGGAGAGGAAGATCTCCCGCGGGCCAGACAGGCCAGACCCCTTCGTCAATGGGCACAGCTTCGAGGATGGCCTCGCCGCCTGCTACACCAGCAGAGATATCGCGAGAAGTGCGTGTGGATGAGACTTCTCTTGAGCCGAGCTATGATACATCCCAGCAGATACAAGGTGGTGAAGCGCTACAACTTGGAAGGTCAGAGGCCAGCACAGGGCAAGGGCCGAGAGGGCAAGGGCCGAGCAACTCCGAGAACGCGCAGCACTTCAGCTTGAATGAGGCCTGGGAAGCGGCTCAGCAACAGGAGGAGATTTCGGTTAATGACGCTCGAGAACGCAATAGAACGA